CGGAGAGTTCGAAACTACACGGAGAGTTCGAAACTACACGGAGAGTTATAAACTACATGGCACTTTAAAAATGTTTTGTCTCTAAACAGAATCTGAGGAGAAATAAACTCGGTCCGTTTTATGTGTGCAGAACTTTAAGTAGCCACCAGAGGGCGCTCAGATTACAACATAACCTGCAGCTGCAGCAGCAAGTCTCAAACCTCAGACTCTGGTTCTGATCCAGACCAGTGAACTCAGCGCCGTTTTAAAACCCTCTTCAACTAGCTCCTGTAAGGGGGAGGGGAGGCATCGGGCCGGTACCGAGCAGCTGGTACCTCACTGAGCTGCTCTGTTGGAGACTGGCTGAATTCTGGGTGTTGTTGACCTGCGAGTCATGTCGCTCTTTAAATCATGGACTACGTGCACGGCTTGCTGGCCGTTCACATTATTTTGATGTGCACGTTAAATCCACCTCAGAAGCTGACAGAAGCCGAAGCAGGCTGCAGCTTCGGCTTCTAGCAGGCTGCAGCTTCGGCTTCTAGCAGGCTGCAGCTTCGGCTTCTGTTGGTGTCATCCTCTGGAATGGTGTTTAAATTAAAAATGATTGAAAACCAAAGAACTCGTTAAACTTACTGTAGGCAAACGGAACCATTTAATTAAAGTTCCTGACCTTTGACCTTAGCCAGAGCTCAGACTGGACCTTTGAATGTAAAGCTTCAGAACCTGCAGCTGAAACACTCAAAACAAACGTTTGAACTTTGATTTAAAGAAACAGACTTTGATCTTTCATGGTTTCCTCTTTAGCTCCATGACTACAGAGTTGAGTTGGACCTGAGCCTGCCAGCCCCCCTGGACCTGGTGGCCCGCTGGTTGTTGAAGACAGAGGGGGCTCTGGCTGAGGGACAGGGGGGCCCTCAGGACCACGGCTGTGCTGCTGATGAAGCCAGAGAGAAGCAGCAGCTGCTCAAAGTAAGACGCATCTGAAAGTCCAGGCCCGGTGTCTGACACCAGCTTTAAATGTTCTGGACCTCCTGCTCGTTGTTGCAGAGCTGCTTGGAGGAGATGCCACAGCACTTCAGAACCTTCCAGTCCTTCAGGAACCTGGACGAGTTCGGAAACACCATGGTTCCTGCAGACAAGATGGATGAGCTGAAGAGGAGGTGAGCTCACTCACTGACGTGTGTGTGTGTGTGCGAGCGTGCGTGCGTGTGTGTGCACGTTCACATTCTCCAGATTCTGGATGGAACGTTTAGGATCAGGACCTTCATGCTGAGTAGTACCAGAACGTCTCCTGATGGACCTTTTCCTCCACCAGGTTTACCGGAGTCAGAGTCACTGCCAAGTACCACGGGATCAAGCTGGAGTACCAGGAGCACCACCACATGGTTCTGGACCTGCTGGGTCAGATCAAGGCCAAGCTCCTGGTCTGGAAGAGACCGTATCTTTCTGCAGAAGCTGTCAAGCTGCTGCTGCAGGAATGGCATGTAAGAAGCAGAGATCAGTCGACGCGTGTTTTTCAGACAGAATCACCGTCGCCTGATGTTTTTATCAAAAGCTACGAAAATGATCAATAAAAACATGGATCATCTTGATCAGCTTATAATATTGAAGACAATATCATAAGCGGAACCTGACACACACCTGCTCCACATACACAAAGTTTACCTGAACATTTTAACATTAAACACAAAACATTAATATTAATTCAGTCTGAAACATTAAGATCAAAACCACTTTTAGCTGCTTTCAGTCCTGGTCCTTCGGCTCGGGCTTTCTGGATCACGGCTCACTTTTCACTGGAGACTCTCAAACCTGCGTCAGTCTGACTCCGACTGTTTGTTTAAAATTAAATATGATTTTACGACATTTTCCACAGGAAGTGGTGGACAAACTGCAGCTTCCTTCCTTGTTGGAAGCTGCTCTTCAGAAGCTGAAGCTCGTCTCCGAGAAATATTCCAGTAAATCTGCTCTGGGTGAGTCTTTTTACACGAGCTGCGTGCGTCTGTGTCCACCAGGTGAGGTGTTCACCTGAGCTGTGTGTGCTCCTCAGCTGCAGATTACCACAGCGTCAGCCAGCATGCGACGAAGCTCGAGGAGGAAACCCTGCTGGTTCTGCAGGAAGTCTCGTCGACCAAGAGCATCATGGGTCGGGTCCTGTCCGCCTGGGAGGCTTACAGCGACTGCATGAGCTCCGTTCAGGCTTGGCTTCAGCAGGGATCGGTACCACACAGCCGAGGAAACGAGCCGACGGTACCACGAACACAGAGACATTCCGGTTCAGACGCAGATTAAACCCAGAAATAATCCCACTTGCCTCATTTAATCTTACAATCTCATGCCTACATTCCAACAAGAACATATTGAAACAGTCAATGAAGCCGTTTGTCTCCATGATGTTGTGAGGACTACATGTAGATCGTCACTGTCTTACCTGCTCTCAGAGAGGGTCTGATAGAGCCAACAAGCTAAACACTAGCTAAAAGCTAAATGTATCAATCACTATAGCTTAAAGTAGTGTAATATTAGCTACACGTAGCAAAAAGATAGCTAAAAGCTAATTGTAGCAGAACGTAGCTAATTATTTGTGAGTGAAGTAATTTATTTAAAAATATAGACGCCTCCCGAATGAGCTGAAGGTTTTGACAAACAGCTAAAACAGCACGTCTGCAGATTGTAAGATAAAAAGTAAACGCTGATTCAGCATTCCCACAACAATAAAACCAAATACTTGAAGTTGAAACGTCTTAACTCTATCAGTTCTGCAGATTTCCTCACTCTAAGCCCCGCCCCTTTCTGCGTGTTGTCCAGGTGACGCCTGAATCCATGTCTGAGTGGGGGACCCGTCACGCCCACCTGAACGAGGCGGGGGCCTTCCTGATGGAGGCCACGGACCCTCTCACCAGCAGAGCCCTGGCAGACGAGCTGCGGAAGCTGAACACGCTGTGGGCGGAGTTTGTCAGCAGAAGCAGCTGTGTAGGTTCTCCTCGGGGGGGACCTCCGGTTCCTCTACTTCTCCTTAAAACACATTTGTTTTGGCTTTGGCTTTCTTTTTAAAATCAAATGTAGCTTTGTGTCCGGTCGTTTTGATGAGAAGCTTTTCAAATCCTTTTCTTCAGATTTTATTGATTTGTGATCAGGAGGAGGAGGAGACTCCAGGAGTTTTCAGCTCTTTGGACGTGCACCTCCTCACATGAGCTAAAAGAGTTTAAAAGTGCGCACCTTTACTGTTGTGTTGTTTAATCAGGAGAGCCGAGCTGTCGGCGGCGCTGACGTCCAGGTGAACCCTCAGGACCTCCAGGCGTTGATCAGAGAGGCCACCCTGATCCTTAAAGAACCTCTGGAGGCCCTGGCAGCTCCTTTACGCACCTACAGGAAGAGACTCCAGGTTGGACCCACCGACTCTTTAATTTCACGTTCTGTGATGATCAGTCTCTGTTTTGGTGACCACAGACGTCTCTTCTCTTCAGTTCATCATGAGGAAGATCAAAGAAGTGGACCTGGAGGCTCTCGGTCCCTCTCCAGAATCTCCTCCGGATCAGTTACAGAAACTGAGGCTTGCAGTTCCTGAAGTATGAAGTCCTCCTCGGATGTCTTCCTCGTGACATGCATGGTCTTTGATGTGCTCCGTCCCCCCCTGTCCCCAGGTGATGCAGACCTTGTTCGAGGCAGAGCAGGTTTGTGCAGAGATGCAGCACGGCGTCTCCGGGCTGGACACCAGGTTGGCTGAGCTGCTGCTCTGGGAGATGGAGGCCAGAGAGCTGTACGAGCTGCTGAAGGCCGCAGAGCCACGACGCCAAGGCCAAGACCCCCGAGCCAGGGTGAGGCTTCCAGAGAGCCTCGGGTCCTTCCATGAACCAAACTGAATGTTTGTTGTTGTTGGTTCTCAGTCCTCCAACAAGCTTCAAAGATAAAATAACTGCACTTCTGTTCTGAAGATGTTTTAGCCTTTTCAGCCTCAAACTGCTTGAGATGATCCAGTTATAAACTCACGTGCAGATTAATCTCCCTCCCCTCCCTGCTGAGGGTCATTGGGTCTTATGTTTGTGTCCTGGCTCTCACGTGTATTTGTATCTGCAGGTGACCAAAACTTCTCTCATTCGAGCCGAGCTAACACAGCAACTCATGACCCTCTGCAGTGAGGGCAGTGAGGTTGATCTGCACGTGAGTTCAGCTGCATTAACAGAACATCTTGCGCAGTTTACAACTTGACCTCTGCAGTTCAGAAACACTGAAGCGCTCTGGATGTGAAGGGAAACCTCTTTGGCTACAGAACAAAAGTCTAGTTCTTTGTTTTAAATTCAAACTGTAGGTTTAAACATACTTTTATGAAAACATTAAAGATTATTGAGTTTACTTTTTGTCTGCAGGTGATAATTTCCCGTGGTCTGCAGCTGGAGGGTCAGGTGGTCACAGAGGAGCAGGACCTGCAGGTCATAGTCATGACAAGTCAGAAAGACTCCCCCATCCAGTATCTCCATGCCTCAGCCATGCAGCACCGAGTGCAAGCTGCAGTGGCCCAGTCTCAGGTCCGCTTGTCTCTGTCTTTGTCTCTCTGTCACTCTCTGTCTCTCTGTCTTTGTCTCTTTCTGTCTCTTTCTCTCTGTGTCTCAATGTCACACTCTGTCTCTCTCTTTCTGTCTCTCACTGTCTCTGTCTTTGTCTCTTTCCATCTCTCTGTCACTCTGTCTCTCTGTCTTTGTCTCTTTCTCTCTGTGTCTCAATGTCACTCTCTGTCTCTCTGCGTCTCTCTTTGTGTCTCTATGTTTCTCTCTCTCTCTGTGTCTTTCTCTCTTTGCATCTCTCTGTGTTGCTTTGTCTCTGTTTCTGTCTCTCTCTCCCTCTTTGCTTCTCTGTGTCTCTCTGTTTCTGTCTGTCTTTCTCACCCTCTCTCTCTGGCTTTCTCTGGCTCTTTCTCTAACACACACACAGTATATTGTACATAAAGGGTGTTTTGTATTTCAGGAAGCCATCGGTATGCTCAGCAGCCTGGGAGCTCGGAGGGACAGGAGTAGAAGTCCTTCAGAGGCTGGTCCTCCTTCAAAGGTCTTTATTCTAAATGAAACCGAACCTAAATGGCAGAGACCCTCAGACACCAGGCTGCCAACTCCAGGGTCTGAGATCTGTCGGGGTTCACATCACAGTGACAGAAACGTTGGGCCAAAGATAGTAGTGCAAGAACACAGAGAAGAAAAAATGACGTCTCCACCGATGCCGTATACCTACGCTCAGGCTGTGACCGGAACAAGGTCTTCACCAGAGGGACAGACTCCGGTTTCTCAAGAGACAGCTGCACAAAAACCACACGAGACTCGACATCAAGATCAGAAACCACAACAACAGTTCCTGCAACAAGGTCCTTCCAGACAACCAGCAACTGAAACAGAACAGCAACATGTCCTGCGTGAGCAATCAGTAAGAGAGAAACAACTAGAAGAGTTGATGCACGAAGAACCAGAACCCCAGCAGAGCAAGCAAGAACAGGACCACCATCGGAAAGAAGTTTATCGGTATCAAGCAGAGCAGCTGGCAGACAAGACTCCACATCAGCAACCACCGTCAAAGAAAACCTCTCTGAGCTCACAGGAACTGCAGAGCAGAAAGGCTCAGGCCATGAAGAACCGACCCTGGCTGCAGAAAGCTGCTTCAGGGGACAAGAAAAGACCAAGTCCACATCCAGAACAAGATCCTGCTCAGACTAAACACATGAGGTCACAGGTAAAATCGGTGTCCGCTCCTCAGGTGGTCTTGCATCATTCATCAACCGGTGGGGAGCAACCGGAACCACAGGCAGGACTCGCTAAAGAGCCACAGCAACTGCAAGGAAGGCAACAAAATGAAGCTCAGCAACAAAACAAGCAACAGCAGCAACAGAGGCAACTTCAGGACACCAAAAAGCAACAAGTTGTGAAACAGGCCAAACCAGGTTTAGACATCAAGACTAAAGCCTGGACAGTAACTGAGACTCAGTCCAAGAACCAAACAAAGATCCAGGATCAGTCCCAGCCCAACGTGCAGCCTGTGGTCCAGGTGTCCCTCACAGGTGTGTCTCACTCTTCCACAGACAGCCCACAGACACAGACAACGAGCTTCTCACAAACTGGATTGAATGAAAGTCAGTCACAGAGACAAACTCCTCCAAAGCCCCATAGCTCTGTAAAAACTCAGTCCATGTCCCAGACGTCAGTTTCTGCAGAATCTCAGCTTCTTCTGCAGCCACAGGGTCCAGCCCATGGTCCAACAGTTGCTCAAGTTCATACATGGACTTCTATTGGCCCTTCTCCTGTGCCAGCACTGGTTCCAGGCCACATTCAGCCTCCTGTGCCTTCCCACATTCAGCTTCGGACTCATCCACAGTCCTGGGCTTCTGTGAGGTCCCCTTCTCCTAAACCACCCACACATAAGCAGCCTGAAACTATTGGTCAGGTAAAATCCTTCAATTCACCTCACCCACAGCCCAGAGATCCTCTTGAAACTCGTTCTGATGTGAAAACCCATCCGGAAATCCATACAATGCCCATGAACCTGCCTCAGATCCATGCAAAATCAGGAACCCAGGTTCCTCCTCAAACTCATGTCCAGTCAGTGACCCAAGTTCAGGCCCATCCTCAGCAAAAGGCAAACCTTCAAACCAACAAGTTGTCCTTTCCCCAGGTTCAAACTCATGTTCAGCCAGTGGTCAGGCCAAGTGACCCTCAACTACCAACTCATCATCAAACCAATGCTCAACCTGTGGTCCATCATCGGGACCATCCTGTTCCTGACCCTGTGACTTGTTCTCATCCTCCAGTCATACAGCATGGTCTTCATTCCCAGGGTCAGTTGCAGGCCTGGTCTCCAGTCCGAGCCTCATCCCCCATGTCTTCTCAGCAGCTCCAGGCTGCTGCTGGAACTACAACTCAACCACAGCTTTATCACCAGGGTTACTCTCAATTTTCATCTCAACAATGGACAAATAAACAGGAGTCACAAAGTCAGGCCATGTTCCATCAGAGACATCCTGTTTCACAGCTTTACCCTCAGGCTCCCATGTCCCAGTCTTACCCAGGAGCTCAGGCTGTACCACAGTGGCCCCAGCAGCAAGGGACTCAAGTCTCCCCTCAAAGGTTTGCTCACATGGGTCTATCTTATAATCAGCCTCAAATCCATCTCCAGGCACACACTCAGTCATGGTCTCAAATCCAACCGCAAATCCCCCCCCAGGGTTCTGTCCAACTCAGGCCCCATCAACCAATGCAAACCATCCAAACAGAACAAGGCCATGTTCAGCAGCAGACTTGGGTTCAGCCAATACCACCACTTCAGTCCCAGCCTTACGGTCATCCTCAGACTGAGCAGCATTTAATGGGTCAACACCAGGCTCCGATCCAAACGTACATGGCTTCTCAATCACATCCGCCACACCAGGCCCAGGTTCAGCTACCTATACAGGGCCCACTACAAACTCTGCAGACCCACTCCCAAACACACATCCAGACACAACCAGGGCTCCAAGCTAAGCCTCACACCAAGCCCTCTTCAGAGCCCAAACCCTTCCAACATCTGCACCTGATGACTGAGGAAAAAAGTGCATCTTCTCCAGTGTCCAAACCTCTGGACCAATCAGGATTTCAAATACCAGCCCAACCAAAGGTACTATCAACAGTCCAGTCCAAAGTCAAATCAGAACCCAAGCCTCAACCCATGCTGCCCAAACCAGTTCCATCAACGGCAACGACTATGGTTGAATCTTCAACTAAACTCAGGATTCAAAAACAAACCGTGTCACAGCCTTCAGGTCAAACAGAACCCGAGGTTACACAATCTATGGTAACAACCAAGCCCCTAGTTCTGACACCAACTCAGGTACAAAATGAGCCCCTGGTTTTGACACCAACCCAGGTACAAAATGAGTCCCTCGTTCTGTCACCAACCCAGGTACAAAATGAGCCCCTTTCTCTGGCACCAACCCAGGTACAAAATGAGTCCCTGGTTTTGACACCAACCAAATCTCAAGTTGAACCAAGACAGGAGTTCAAGTTGCAGACTGAGACCCCAACAGAACCTGTGGCTCAGTCACTAATTCAACCTAACATTGACTCAACATCACAATCTAAGGTCCAGTCGGTGATTCAACCCAACCCCGAGGCACGATTTCAAACACAGGATCAGTTATCATCTTCACCCAAACCCCAAACACCTCCACAGTCCAAGGTTCAGAGCAAAGTTCCAACAAAACCTGTGGCTCAGTCACCAATTCAACCCAAATCTGATGCATTACCTCAGCCTAATGTCCAATCAGTGTCTCAACCCAAACCTGAGGCACAGCCCCAAACTCCTCCACAGTCCAAGAGTCAATCCCCACTACAGACCAGACTTCAGACTCAACCACTCCCACCATCAAACCCTCAGACCCCATCTCCCCTGCAAACCAGGCCTCAACAAAAACAGACCAGTCCTGTCTTCCAGGTCCCCGTTCTGCCTCAGATCCGAGTTGAGTCCACAGAGGACCTCATCAGACCCCCTGCTCTGGCTCAGGCCCCTCCTCAGGCCTACACAGAGGCCTACATGAAGGCTCGAGCTCTGGCCATGAATGGCTTTGAAGAGGCCAAGCACTGCCTGCAGGCGCACATCCTCGAAGCCATCTCAGTCTTCAAAGACAAGTGTTTGTCAGCTGAGCAAGCAGCAGTTAAACAGGTAAATGTAACATTTCCAGGTGATTTAACAAGTTACTGTGACCAATAAATTGTTGTTTTTGTGAATAATTGTTTAGAATGTGTGCTGCGTTTACTCGAGGAGATTTTTGCTGATTTAGGCCCCTATAAAGATCTCTAAATATCTTCAGATTTTGTATTAAACCGATTCCATAAAGTAATCCTGCAGGTGTTTGTTTCTGTCTCAGGAGGCTCTCAGGACTCTGGACCCGGAGCTCCTGGAGGAGTTCCTCAGAGCAGCCAAGGGCATGGAGGCATTCTGTACCCCCTCACAGCTCAGAGACATGGACTCCTTCGCCCAGTCCGTCAGGACGCAGTGGGAGGTAGGACGCTGTGTAATCTGCTAAGTTTTCTGTAGCTAGATGCTAAAATTAGAGAAACCATGACTAAAAGCTAAAGCTAAAATTAGCAACAAACAGAAGGAAAAGCTAAAAAAAAATAAAAATACTGACAATGCTGTGGCCGGGAGTTTTCAGTCACAACTAGGTGACTCATGGACTTCATAGTACCGAAGGTTGCTGCAGGTTGAGTAATTTCCTGTTGATTTAATCTGGTTTTATTTCACCTCCCAGACTGTGAGAGCCGACATCTCAGGCTTTTTGCTCCACTTACGGTTTGAAGTAAGAAGGAAAGCTTTTAACTCAGCTGCCCTGCGGTGTGAGATGCACTTAGCATCCGGCTTAAACAAACGGGAACAGGTAGTGACTTCACTGCAGCTGATTTCTACAGGTGTGCGTCAGAGGATGGGGACGCAGCTTAGCTCACCTGCTTTGCTTTGAGAACTGTTCTTCTTCTGGACTTCAGTGGGGACTTTGGTGTTTTTCTCAGAAGGCTGTTTTAGCAGGGGTGTGTGTGTGTTCAAAGTCTGTCTTGTTCAGACAGGACTAACACCTGCTCACAGGTGACGTCAAGAATAAAATTGATAAAATATCAGTTTAGTGGTAAAAACAAAGCCAGTGGTTCCCAACCGTGGTCCTTGAGGAACACCATCCTGCATGTTTTACTTGTCCCTGCTTTGACACACTTGATTTGTATGAGAGTGATTAACAGGCTTCTGAACTTGAAGTAATTAAATCACTGAATCATGTGTTGGAGCAGAGAAACAACCGAAACATGCAGGATGGTGTTCCTCAGGGACCAGCATTGGGAACCACGGGTGTAAACGATGTTTGGAAATAAACATTTAAAAATCTTTGTGCTAAATGGCTGCTGGGTTGGGCTCGCGCTGTCCAAAATGTCTGCTGGGTCTCTTGAGCTGTGTTTCTGATTGTACTGGAAATATTTTCATCTGAACGTTTGAGATGCAAAAGACTGAATAAAAATAAGAAAGTCCATGTTCCTTCAATTCTGGGTTTAATGTCTCAGGACAGACCAATGAGCAGCTGTCAGCATGGTGGTGGAGTCAACCATGAGTCCATCCTGAGTTCATGCCGAACAGCTGAAGCTTGGACCAAACTGGGCCCAACAGGACCGTGATCCCAAACACAGCAGCTGATCTACAACAGAGCAGGTCAGAAAGAGCAGATGCAACGGCCCAGTCAGTCCAGAACCTGAACCTGATGGTGGACCTTCAGAGAGCTGAGCAGAAACCTCAAAGAACTGAAGCAACAATGGAAAAAAAAGTGGGTCAGAACTCCTCCAGAACCAGGAGAGATACTGATGAAGTCCTGCAGAGAACCACAGAGGGTTCTGCTGCTGAAGGAGGTTCTGTTGGATCAGAGGCACAAGCCGAGGTTCAATTTGAATCAAGAACTCGTTAAAGATCATCCATCCATCCATCCATCTAACTGTCCATCCATCTATCTAACTGTCCCATCCATCCATTCAGCTAACTGTCCATCATCCATCCATCCATCCATCCATCCATCTAACTGTCCATCCATCCATCCATCCATCCATTCAGCTAACTGTCCATCCATCCAT